CACATGATATTGGAGATCCAAAATACCTATTAGATCCAATGCTGAGAGCTCCTAGCAAAATTATATAATCTGATATTTTTTGAAAAAAATGTTAATTTTGTTCTTTACCAAAGATCATCATTGATATTGTAGTTTTCCTTATCAAACGATCAATTCTATCATCCATTCCAAAAGACATTGATGATAGTTTTGATCGAAGAATTTCCAAAAGAATATGAATCATCTTTGTTTCAATAAAAGAAATTGTTTGAGTTGTCGAAAAAAAGATTCCACTCACTTTCTTTTAAATGAGAGTAGTAACTCTATATGAATTAGAACTAAGTAAAGCGAATATCTAAAGATAGAAATAACATTTTATGATCTTTATATTAAAAATAGTTTGTAATTGTTTTTATTCTTTCGCAATATTCAATAATCTAATAAAAATATAAAATAGCTTTGATAGCTAAACAAAATACAAAATATCGATAGCGAGAATGACGATACACTACTGATGACAAATACCGATACATGTGAGAAACGATTGTGTACTTTGCTTTTATATATACACCATGCTTTTCTTTTTCATATTTGTTTAGAAGCAAGAATATATTCAAGTCATTCTGAATTCTCTATTTCATTTGTTTTTGAAATGAATGATTTTTGTTTATGTAAATGTGACTGATAAATATTTAAAAAAAAGATATACGGCACATCTGTCCCGTATTCATACAATAATGAATTGAGATAGATAGTTTTATCTTATCTATTGTTAGTTGTCTTGTATGTGGTACTCTTTCTTTAGTGTATAAAAAGACATTCAACCGTTTTATATATTTCATTTAAAAAATACTTCGAAGCAAGTAATATATATTTCGAGATTTTATTTTATTCCAAACTAGGGGAAAATTACATTTTATTGACACGAGTGGCTCGAAAGTGGAAAAATACATAGAGAAGAACAACACATGGAAAAAAATAGCGGAATCAATCAAACTAAAAGTGAATAATTGAGAAACCGTTTTGATCGTTAGATTAAATGTATGAGATTCTATTGCAGTTGATCAATCAAATGGATTCGATATAATACTGTCACCTTTGCCTGTTATTAATGATGGTATTAGACCACAGAACAATACAAGACAATAGGAAGAGTAACTCGACCATTAAATATTTCACGTTTTCCTGTTTTTGAACGAAGACACTATGATGAACCAATAGCAAAAACGTTGACATTCGATGACACATCGAATTTAAATATTCGTAGCATTTGTCGTTCATTACGTAAGTGTGATAGATTAAAAAATTCTTTTAACTATTAATATTTTTCATGATTAAACAGGTAAAAGAGTAGAATCATCTAAACAAAATAATCACAGGTAATTTTCTATTCGACTTTTGAGAAGTTTATTGAATTAAGCTTGAATATTCTCAGTAACAATCAAATAGAAAATGATCTAAACGAAAAATCTGAAGAAACAATGTCAGCAAGTGAAGAAAATGTTAAAAAAGCTCAGATAAATGTGAAAGAAAATCTAGAATTAAAATTAACAACACAGGCTTCTGCTGAGGTAAATAAAATTATCAGTCAACTGTTAGGAGACATTTTTTTATGCTCTTCATCTTTGTAGAGAATGCATCTATCAAGGAGACGTGGTAGACCACTAAAAAGACCAGTTGATGTAGACAAATTAGTTGGCGCTTTTAGTAAGCTGACAAGATCCCAAATTGGTGCACTAGATACTACAACGTGGTCGAAAAAGTCACGAACTAGTGCTCCAAACGTATGGAGCATTATGTGCTCACACTTGAAGCTAAAAGATGATGAGAAAAATAAAAAGTGGTTGACGCATATATGGCAGACAAATATGTGGCATGTTACTGACGAAGTTCGCAAGTATGTAATCAAACATCTTTTCATATGAATACAACCCGCCTTATCGTATCCTATCTTTTCTCGAAAGGAAAACATCTGAGAATACGAATGTTATTGATTCTGTAAAGTTTGACGTCTCACCCATGTAAGTCGCTAAGAACAATAAGCACCATTTCGACTTTTTATTATACTAGCATTACACATGATGTTGCTGTTGGTTCACCTTCTGGTAAATATCTAAACATTTTCTCTACTACATTTTGATTATTTGTTCTATAGTTGTACCAAAAGAAACTGGATGTAGCAGTGCTTTAAGTAATATTATCAATGTCATCGAGAATTGCTCTCAAAGTGAAATATATACAATAGATTCTGTAAGTTCTTTTCTCTCTCTAAAATCACTTGTGCAACTGTACTGTTTTACGAAAGTCTAATCGAGCAGCTAATTTAAATTCTTCAAAAGCTCGAGCCAATGAAATACTAGATGATATTCTAACACTTGTGAATCTAAAAGAAGTATGTACATAATGATTAAAATGAATATACGACGAGATTATTTTATTATCTATGTTTTAGGTGAGTCCTGTCTGCAACAAGGACTCAACTAGTCCAAAAATACAATCAAGCACCATAATGAATATGAGTCCACAATTTATAATGAACTCACCAACTAAAGAAGTCTGTTCAAATGAAATAACATTGACTACATATCGGGTAGTATGTATATGTACATCACATCATTCGATAATTGCTCATTTATATATGATTTAAGACTACGGTAAAAGATTATATGAATTGGCATCAATTGGATGAAATTCAAGATTTTCATATGTCCAATGAAGATAAATTATTTCCAGATTTTGATGATTTAGTCATGGATGAATATCAGAAGGTAATTTTAAGAATAATAGAAGCAATAAATTTAGACTATGAGAGATGCCGAATAGTTTTCAGTAATAAGATATAATTCGTTACAAATAATTTTTTACAAAAATAGAATGTCAATGAGAACAATTACAAAAACTTCTCAAGTGGAAAGTGAAAAAGAAATTTTTAATTTCTTATTGGTGTTCTTTTACTTATTTTATCTCACGATTTTATTTTACATTTTAAGACAACAACGGATAATCAACATAATATTATTCATTTTGATGAAAAGTCTATTTCACCTGTAATTTTTTAATCTTTTATTGACGATTAATAAAAATACTTTTATTAAGACTGCAAATAAAGAACAACAACAAACACATGAGAATAATAAAGTTAGTAAACAATGTGTGCATAATGAAACTGAACGTGGTGTCACGTCATTGCCAGATGAATATCACCATGTTATTGATGCTCTACTTGATCGTCCAACGATTGCTGGACAATACACAGCTGACGTTCCTTCCGAACCGATATCATTACAAATTGACAAATCTGATCTTGATTTCTTTCAAAAATTAGTGATGGAATCTAAATCAAAAAAAATGTTACCTCTGTAGAAACACCAGATGCACGTAAACGTGACGCCAGTTGGATTATTCTATTTGAAAAATATGTATCACAAGTGAATGATAGTTGCGCATTTATGTATCAAGATCATCATTATTCAACTGCCAAATCAATTAAATCATCGAACAAGAAGCAGTTTATAATGAGTGGTGATGCAAAATGTAATTTTTCTTCGTGTACATGCTCACATCATGGAACTGTACATAGTAATAATGAATTAATAATTACTTTCGAAGGAAAAATAGTTCATAGTCCATCAGAACAAAGAGCTCGTCCTGTTCGTGGTATTCATCGACTTGCTGTTGCTGAAAAATTAACAAGTGGATTAAGTCCTGGTCAATTACGACTTAAAGAACTAGGTCATCTAACAGAAAAACAACCGTAAATTTGGTAATTATAATTCAGTTGGTTCTAATCCTCATGTATTTCGAAAGATTCGTAGTGAAGCAAAAACTTCATTAATGCTTGATAAAGATTTAACAACTAGTTTACAAAAAATTAAGGAAGAACAAGCTAAAGTAATAAATGTTGGAAAACGAGTTCCAGGATATTTACAAACAATTACGATCTGTCCACTACGTTTGATTCATTTTACTGAAGGAGCACTAATTTTATGGAATAAAATAGGAAGTAATGTACCTATCTCGTGGGATGCTACAGGAGGAATCGTTATGAGTAGAGGAAAGTGAGTCTATTATTATGAATTGACTGTTACGAATATTGCTCCTCGGTCAGTGACTACCAAAAACGTATCAGGGCCTTCATTTCCTATCACTTCAATGTTATCAACTACGCATACAGCCATGGACCTTGCTCAATGGTTACAAGACTTCGAGGTAGCATATCGAAATTTATATGGATTTAAGGCTCCGTTTCCCAGGCCACCAATTGTTCATTCAGATGGATCATTAGTCTTTCAACTAGCTGCTATGCGTTTTTTTAATGGTGATAATACGATGAGCGCATATTTAAAACGTTCTTGGATTATCGTTAACAAAAAAAGCAACAAATGAAGATCTAAGTAAAACTGTAGTTCATTCTTGTTTTGCACACTTCAGTAAAGGTGTAAAACGTCAAGCAACAAAATTTTTCGCAAAGAAAAAGGTAAGTTTTGTTTAGTTAATGTTTTAATTACACTTTCATTTATGTATAGGTAGCATTTGCTTTATGGATTATGTCATTATTAGTGAATTCAAATACAGTTGAAAAAATGGCTAGTATGTGGGAACATACTTGTACTGTTCTTCTTAGTCCTACACAAAATACAGCATATTCTGTATCTATTTCTTGTTTATCGTATGCAGCTGATAATGTAAACAATGATCCTGACAAGGATAATTTTATTATTAGAAATGTTAAAGTTGATTCCAAAGGTGAATATCAATATTCATCAACACTTGGTCAGGTATGATAAATAAAATATAAGTTCCTCTTTAATACAAAAAAAAAGAATCCTTCTCCGGAAAATATATACATATTTTAACAATGGCTTTCGATTTAAATATTAAAAATATTTTGGAAGATGAATTCTAAATAAGAATAAAATTAAAAGTTTTCCTAGAAAACATTTTGTAATGCAGGTAATAATAGAAACAAATGCATTTTTTACTTGCTTAGATTATTGGCTCAAATATTGATGACGATGACACTGAAAATAGCATTAGTGAACAAAATGCTTGTGATGAAAGTGAGAGTCCTTTCCGTGACTATTTTACCAGTGTATTTAATGATCAAAAAACAAAATGTGCAATGTTTGCAAATGAAAATTTTCAAAAATATAATGAAAATCCATATTACAATCCTGATTATTTAAAATGTATTCTCTCTTTATACTTGTCTGTGGCACCCATTTGGAGTAATTTGCTGATGGGAAACTTAGGACGTTATGGTTATCGCAATTTTGAACCCATTCAACATTGTGGTTGTCACAACAGTAGAACTACGGGTATATCGGAATCTCGACTAAAAGTAATTAAACATACAGTGCTTCAAGGCGAAGTATCATCTCGCATTGATCAAGTAGTTCAAATACTTGGTTCTAATATTCGACAAGCTGAAATAAACTATTCCAACCATTATCTACTTAATTTAACACGAAACAGGAGTATGCGAGCGAAGAAACTACTAGCTGAAGAACCATGGAATAAACGTGGTCCACCAGCAGTTACTACTACAAGCATTTATTCTCAAAAACCGAAAGTATCACTTGTTGCTCAAGTAAAAAAAGCTCTGAAAATAAAATCTAAAGCCGATGATGTAGTTGTTGGTAAGACTGTTTTTTTACATATTTGAATCATTTAGATAGGTTTTGACCTATGTAAAAAAAGAGACGTATGGTTAAAAAAACTATTTAATTTGTTTTTTAGTGTCTACAGGCAAAAACACATTTCAATTTAAACCTCATCCAATGCTTTCGCAAATTCAACTGAGCTGGTTAAATTCATCAATTCAACTAGTTTTATCAAATAGCTGTCTCATTGAAACATTGCTTAATAATTTTTGTTCCTCGTCAAATGCACACAACTCAGCCAATAATCCAGTTACGATTGTATCTGATATAGAAACCAATAATACTACTCATCTTAATTTGTACCCGAAAGTTGAACAAATCACAATTCAATATTTATGTGATATTTTTAAATCACCGTGTACTAAACCTCTAGGAATAACTATTGGAGATAAGTACATTGGAGATCTTCGTAAACATGGTCCGAAAATGTATATTGTCAACACACAAGAACATATACCAATTATTCAACCTATAGGTCAAATGTCATCTGTTAAAGATTATTTGTCAAATGTTCTTTTACATGCAATGCATAACTTTATTGATGTACCAACAATTTTTAACGAATCATGTACATGCTCTCAATGTCATGTTGAAAATGTAACATTAACTGAACAACAATCATTTTTTAACATTATACACAACCAACTGTGAAGGTTTAATGTTACCTGATGTAGCATTACAAATTTTTTTTATCAATGAAATTAAGGAAAAAAATGTAAAAACATGCAATGCATGTGGTAAAGAATCAGACCAGAACCAATATCGGAGAGACATTGTACAATTACCAGATACTTTATTTATGGCGCTTATGCCAAAAAAATATAGAAACAATAGTAATGATAATGTCTTATCGACAGAATTTTTTATTCAAAATTACCTGAATATGTTTACGTATGCTTATCCACAATTAGTATGCTATCCATCATATTTCAAATACCAATTAAAATCAATAATAGTCAGCACTGAAAAACAAGAAGACAATAATCATTACTACATATTTGCAACATATGGTGAACAATTTTATCGTTGTGACGATTCATTAATCGAACCAGTTGATAAAGCACTAGTTTTTGAAAGAAAAAATCTGACTACAATTGCTATGTATGTTCGTGAACAAAATAAGAATGCTAATTTTGCTGCAACAATCGGTCAAATTTTATTCGAAACAGGCAAGTATAATGTGATCAGCTATGGTGAAAATTCTCATGTCAGAATGATGTTTGATGCTGCACTTGAGTATATTTCTGGTAACACCAAATTACTCTCTTGGAGTTATGGTGCAGTTTACACGTGTTTACAATGTAAAGACGGTAAGTTACTATTTATGATTTATAGTATTCTTTTACAAAATAATTTTTCATTTCATTTTTTAGAAAACCACGTATTTGGCAGAGATTGTATTTTATTTTCTAATGACAAGCACGTATCAAAAAGCGCTGAAATCTCTCTTGATGATACTCTTCTACAAACAAAGCTTGCTCCAAAAATTCGATGCCGACAACACTGTGAAGGATATACTTTTACAAGAAATGCGAATTACTCTATTCTTGAAATACCTACATTTGTTTTTGTTACTTTTACTGTTAATTCGGCCAAAAATTCTACAAAATCGTCAACAACTGATAAATCAAATGAGAGTTTTCACAAACAAATCTATGTCACATGTGATCTGACACAAAGTTGTTTCAATTATGATTTATATTGCTTTATCGTCGTTACTAAAGATGATCGAACATTATTTGTAAAGCTGATATCAAATAATGAATACTCAGTATATAACAATGATACAAAAGCGTACGAACCTCTTCTAGGTTATCATTTCAATAATTTTATTATAGCATCAGCTACTAATATCGTACTTTGCTATAAAACCAATGATGATCTTGATCTATTTCCAACATTTCAACCTATTACACTGGATATACACGATTGGAAAGAAAAAAACAATTTATATTCTTTCATTTTAGCCGATGCATTCAATACGTACATGTACCATCGCGATAAACCATTTAAAATGGGACCGTATGAATTGAATCCAACAGACATATTTAATTTGATCGAACCAAAATACGAATTGAATGATCAACTACTGAATGCTCATCTATACAAGACGACGACGCTCACGACTGGCATCGTTCTTTTTGATTCAGTATCATTTTTAAAGTACTGTTTATGTGGATTTCGAACAACAGCAGAAATAATAGATACACAATGGTTTAATAATGATATTGTATTAGTACCTATTCATAACTCCCGTCATTGGATTTTATTTATAATTGATATAAAAAAGAAAACAATAGTATTTCTAGATTCTTTGCCGTCTAACTCGAGTCCGTACGAAAATATAAACATTATATTGTTCAATTACTTCGAACACACCATTTTTATTCAAAGAAATCTTCTATCAATTTTGCCAACTGGAAAGTAGTGCCCGAACTTCATGACTGACAACAGGATGACACTACGTCATGTGGTATCTATTGCGCATTCTTCGCACGTTCCTATATTACCGCAACAAAATATCCAAACATCAAGAAAAAGAACATAAAAAATAATCGAGTTCAATTTGCATTGCACTTACTCGAACCGACCAAATCATGAATTAAATTGAACACTAACTAAACGTATATCTACACTACACAAATCGCTAAATACAAAAAATTCATCTTGAAAAACTCAATCTAATTTTGTCCCATTTTCTAATGATCCCAGCATGAAAATTTTCATTTTTAATTGCACGTTTTCTAGTAAAAAAAGTACTGTTTAAAATAAAATTATACTCACAATTTACTTATAAAATATCATTACAACAAAATTTATGCAATTTTATTAATGAAAAAACTGTTCCGATTCTTTAAATCATTCTTCGTAACATTTTGACCGATTATAACATCGTCCATTATTTAGTACAATATCTTGATTGATGATTTTGCTATACGTATACATGCAGTGAGTATCAGATAATGTTTTCTTGAGAAAAGTTGTACGAATGTATAACAAAAAGTTCTAACAGCATCCCATGAAACTTTATTAACAAGTTCCATCCACAAGTAAATGCTTAGTACTAAAAGCATCATTTATTTGAAATTTTTGCCGATTTGTTACAGGCTTTTCCCATGTTCTAAATTTTTTTAATGAACATCTCAACCAATTCTATTGATAAGTACCATTAATTCGTAAGAACAAGTTTTCCTCTCATTAGTCGTGATATTTTTAATAACTAAGCCTATTTTTCATTTCTGCGGGTTTGTTACGGACTTCTCGATTATTTAAATATCATTTTTACCAACATTTCAATCACCTGTATCGATTGGTCCAATTAGCCGTTCAGCATAAATTTTCCAATAGGATATGGTAGTATTAGCGATTACCAAGATTAATTTTAATTTGTGCAGGTTTTTGACAGCCCTTTCGAATGTTATAACATTACTTTAATGAACATCTCAATCAGCTGTATCGATTGGTACCATTAATTATTAAGCACAACTTTTTCCAATAGGAGGTAGCAGTATTGGTAATAACTAATACTTATTTGAATTCGTGCGGTTTTCTGACGGTCGTTCTGAATGTTTAAAGATCATTTTAATGAACATCTCAATCAGCTGTATCGATTGGTACCATTAATTATTTAGCACAAATTTTCCCTCTAGGGGATGATAGCAATAGTAATTGATAATATATATCTGAATTTGTGCTGGTTTCTTACGCATGGTTAGAATGTTTGAGAATCATTTTTATGTACATCTCAACTAGTTCTCTCCATTGGTACCATTAATTATTTAGCACAAATTTCCCCTCTCGGAAATGATGGGAGAAGTAATTTTTAATATATATCTGAATTTGTGCGGGTTCCTGAGGGTGTGGGTGTGGGTGTATCCCTTACTTTATAATCATCCACAATCGATTTCAAATAACTTTCTCCATAATAAAAACTTTGAGTATAATTGAAAAAGATCGATAATAGAATCGGAAATTTTGTAATAACAAGTGCTAATACGATACTCAATAATACATGTGGTATGTCTTTTGAACTAAACATGAAGGAGCAAAGTTCTTGAATACTTGAATTCTGACTTACAAGAAGCTCATTTCCCGTTCTTCTCACTGGAAATTCTTCGATTTCATCGTAAAATTCAAACCCAAATAAAGCTAAATAGATACAAACTCCGATATAGATTATGGACATCCAAATATAGATAATGAACATCGGCACAACATGAGTAAGAATGAAGGGCAACATGAGAGAAGTAACAAAGACGAGTGATATTATTATGATGAACAATATAGCGTAATGAATTAGCCAGCGTAAACTGCCTTGTATAGCATCTATTTTAATAACTTTCATGTAGCCGAGCATGTACGTCTTATAAATGCAGTTCAGTGTAGTTGTCGAATAGGAAACAAAAACATTGTAACAATTCCATGGTGTTGCTATCGAAGACGATGACATACTGCATGTTGATTGAATAACACAATACCAAATGGCGTGTCCGAGTATTAATAGACAGTTGATTGCGTCAAAATAATCGATGTCAATCATATTGCGTAGTTTATTTAGACGGACTTTGTTTTCAATGATGTTAGCATTGGCACCGTCTATTATAAAGTATAAAATACAAACAAAATGGAAAAAGAACTAAAGCTGATTACTCAAGCACAGAGCTTCAGATTGGTTTGAATTATTTCATTGAAATGATCGAAATATCTGAAGGATGAAATAAGCGAAAGCATTTTCTTTTTCAAATTCGATCTAAGGAAAGATAGTACAGATATGAACTAACACATATTTTTTTTAGTGTATAAATATGGTTGCTGGAATTTACATGCATTTAAAATAAAAGAACACCCACACCATGACTATGAAAAAATTACAAAATCATTGTATATTTTATATATTCGCCTGTAAGAAGATGCTAAGAAACCGAAATATTTGGATAGATACTGAAAAACTAAAAAGAATGTTTGTTTGAAGAAACTTCAGAAAGAAATTTCCTTGTTATTCAAAAATGATCACTAAATAAATTGCTCTTAGAAAAATTGTGTTCTTCAGACTTGCTTTTTTTCATATGTTAGAAAAGATTCAAAATCACCCGACATTTCCTCAATGAAAAATATGGATTGGCACCATTTTCTCCTTTTTTACATCGTATTTTACCTATAGTACTCGTATTGGTTTCAGCGACACCAGTTGGAGATGATTGGGTGGTTTTATTTAAGTTCATCAAACGTTTTTGAAGTATCTGTATTAGACCAGCTATTTCGAGTGTTGTAAACCAGGTGCCATATTTGAAGTGATGCCAAATGCGTTGGAAGAGTTGAGACACAATTAGTTCAACAGCGACAATCCAATATGGCTGAATATTGATTTGATAGGCAGGAAATGTGCTTAATAGTGGATTAATAATCATCCATAAATTATTGTAAGTATTACTCATAATGATGTGATCGTTTCAGTTTGAAGCCATAAAAAAATATCGACAAACTTATTCAAAGAAATTTCAACCCTATTACGACTTAAACAACTACTACTCCGTTGATTACTGCTTTTCAATATCAACAACTCTTTTCATTCTGTTCTTTTTTTCCTCATTTCTGACATGTCTAAGAATTTTTATTAAAACATCTACGTCGGAAACATAAAAAAGAATCTCGCTGTTATGACGGAAGAAAAAAACGCTAAGTTATTCTTGGAATGTCGCCACTATTGCTGTTTTGTGGAACTCACATATATTTTCGAAGAAAATGGTGAGTGTAAGTTTAAAAGCGAGATTTTTGCGGTTCCCCACTACAGACATTAATGAGTTTAAAATTGTGATAATTAGGAACTTTACTAATTAGGCTGCTATTTCTTCCTTTTTTAATTATGGATTACACGAAAAAAGCAATGCTTGCCTATTACAGACCATAGTAACTAGCTTATGGTACCATTACAGACCATATAAACCAGTCTCTGCCATTGTTAAATATACGAGTTAACCATAAATACCCCATTACAGACATAAGCAAATAGGCAATGACCTAATTATAGGTTTTGGAAATCAAGATAGATTTTTCTGATGAGCTATTTTGAATTATTTTAGTAATCCTAAGGGATATATGTGAGTTTCACATTTTCGTCCCAAAGAGGCTGCGCTAACAAGCTTTTTTCATGAGATTGTGTCGGTACACTGTAGTTTTATTTGAAATTCTACTTGTTAAAAAATCGACTTTGAAAAAGTTGAAGGATTTTCAAACTTTCATTATTCAATCGTGGAATCTTGAAAATTTAGAAAATGTTTGATTTTCTAATTTTTAGAAACTAGATTTGATTCTTGAAAAAGTTCATTTTCCGAACAAATGTAAAATCATCACTGATTGCGAAAACAATACGAAAATCAATGTATTAAATGCGAAATACTTCTCATTGCTATTTTAAAAGTTAATTTTTTCTTGTGGTTCACTCATCTGGCATCGTCCGTAGTTCAACTATGGCAATTTCCAAATGTGGGTATTCTGTGTTATTTAATTTTAACAACTTTATTTTGAGATAATTATTATTTTTGCTCGTAATCTTCTAGAATTGAAAATAAAAATATGTTAGTAACCCCTATCTTTTATAGTATCTGCACAATATGAACGAACGAACGGATATTTTAACTGACCAGTTGTTTGTTTAATAATTTTCTTTATTTTGTTTAATTTCATACGTAAGGGTGTGGTTGTGAACGTGTAGATGCAAATATACTCAGACACAAGCCAACATCCCCACCCCCACCCATATATGTGTGTATATCCCCCTATAGATATGTTGTTTTACGGGGGGAGGGTCTAGGGGATCGTCGATAAATTCAGAATTTAACTGGCATCATCGAAGACCCCCCATAGACGCCCGTTCAAAAAAATGCACTTCCATAGGGGGATATAGACATATATGAATTCAGACTTCAGATTTAATCATTGAAATGTATTATTACGAAGCTCCCCCAGTCCCTCATTTCTTTTTGAAATGATGTGTCAATTTTTTTTTGCGCAATTCAGATTGAAAACATATACCCCATTATATGAAAAAGTTACATTGAAAATAAAATTAACAGAAAAAGACTAATGAAAACAGTTACAATAAACACAGAGAAGAAAAGAGAATGATTACAGATAACAAGTTAATTGTGACAAAAGAGAAAAGAAAGAAAGAAAGAGAATAAAATATTTTGTGTTAATTTACGTATGTTGAAATTGAACTAGAAGAAGAAAAAATAAAAGAATTCTTAGAAAATGATTTCAATGAAAGCTATACTTGATATTTGATTGAATTCATTGTGATAAGCTAAGATGAAATAAAAATAATTATTTCGATTCGCAAGATTTATATATCTCAGTGTTGATTATTTCCTTTTGAAGTTGAACTAAAACAAAAGAAAATGAATGAATTCATTGCTTGAAATTTTGTTTTACTTACTATTTATATTCGCTCACGCACGCGATCAAGGGCTACCTTGGTGATGCAGTAGCGAGGAGAATCTTATCACACCCAGGCATAGAAACTATAGTGCATAGAATATTCAGCTAATAGAACCTATATGCAGTCCAGTTCGTGTGCTACGGACATCAAGGTAGTCTTGTCCAGCTTCACACCTAAGTTTGGAGGGCCTGTTCTCTCTCTCTCTCTCTCTCTAGAGCGTACAAGAAAATATTAAAATGTATTACTCTTTTTATATATAAAACAGAAATAGAAAGAAAAATTAATAAAAATTTTTTTATCTAAAATAAATTAAAAAGAAAACAAATTTGCATTTTATCTAAAACGAAAATTAAAAAATAATAGTACAGCAAAAAAATTAATGAGGAAAAAACTGAGACAACAGAAGAAAATTCAATAAATAAACTGTGATTACTTACTTTATATTGATGATTGTAAACTAAATAGGATCTAAAATAGAAAGAACCAATGATATATAATAAACCCCCTATATTAGAGGGTCCCCCTGAAGAAAAAGTTTGTTCGACATAATAAAAGACCCCCTTTAATTAATTAATTCTTTGCTAATTACGAACTTTAATTAGCGTTTTTCCATCAAAATATGCCTGATTCTTCGCATTTTAAGCTGGAAATATTAAGAGAATGTGTTCACAATTATAATGATACCCTTAAAACCATGAAAATCACCTTGGTTTTATGGACATCTTTTAAATTAAATATTTGGAAAAAATGCGGTTCTTAATGCAAGACTCCCCGTAGAAAATTTTTACGTTGGAACATAATAGAAGTCCCGGGATCTCTTATTGTGGGGTGGGGGAGGGGCGCTGTTGTTTTAAATAAAAACAGGCTGACCTATTTATGTTGAAAGAAGAGACAAAAATCAATCGGCTATTCTCAGCTGTTGCTTTTCAACAATCGATTTTTTTGTCGAAGTTAAATGAATGTGCTAAAACAACAAGTTATTGTGCTTGATATAAAACATCATTAAAGAAATGCAGAGTTTTATTTGCCGACACGTTTTTTGTTAGTCATTAAAATTTTAAAACACTAATGAAAGCTCTGCAACCCAATTTTCAAAGCACAAAGAAAATAGAAATTTCGAAAATCGAAAAATTAGGATATAAAGAGGACAGAAAAAACGAATAAATTAAAATATTAAAAGGAATCATAGACATAAAGATAGTATAGAAGTATAATATCAGTTTGTAATGCTGAAGTAGATCATTAGCTTAAATATCAATTGTAATTTAAAAAAACGCGATCCTTCATGTATTAAAACATTATCAATTTTGTTTTTTATTGTGTACTAATTGCCGTTATAAGTTGAGTACATTACCAGTACCAATAATTCGTTTAATTTCATTAATTGAACTTTCGATAAAGTACTTGTTCCAAAGATTATGCAACTTTGTTGGCAATGTTGTCATATTTATACAATAAGTGAAATGAATGAACATTGTCTTGTGTTAATCAATTATTAATTTTTCTGTTTTTGGCGTATGAATAATCTTTTCACGTAACGCACTATAGGTATTATGAGTCAATGGCTGATTGGTATTGAATTTTTGTAGGGCACGATTAAATAGTTTAATAATAAAGCCATTCGTAAATCTTCACTTTCATTTTAAAATGCTTTGAATGTTGCACGATATCTAATCGCCCGAAGTAACATAGCGAATGGAATATTCTTTTTCGTATGCATAGGATAAATGCAATTGAATGATAAGTACTATGGTTCGTTGGATGGTTTATGATATACTTTTGTAAATAGATGACCATGAACATTTTCTACAGATAAATCGAGAAAATCTATTGAACTATCAGCTTGGATTTTCAGCTGAATACTTAAGTCAAAATTATTCCATCGATCCGTTGTTTCTAAAAATCTCTAATAGGCCAATTGATGATAATAAATATACCATCGATACATCTTAAATAGGAACCACCACTATTACTAGAGGATGTGTGTGTATTTTTCATATTAAACACCCACACCCACCCCTAGTAGTTTCTTTGATCGCAAGCAAGCATTGTTGGATATTATTGATGTTGTTCGATTCGTTGTAGTTTGTGTTTCTCAGATGAAGTTACATGCATAAATTAACAATATTATATGAAGCTCTTCACCATCGACGCGAAGCACAAGAAAAAGAAGAGAACTGAAACCAACATGAAGAACTCTGTTTAATTATCGGTGCCCGAGTGGTTGTCAGAGAATGACAGACGATTCTGTTGTTGACAATACTCGCATTCAAACAGAAGCTTTTTTCAATTCTCATTCCCTACTTGCATATATTTTCATGCTTTGGAGTATTTCTACACAGCTCGGCTCAGGTTTTACACAACTTTTCGTTGTCATAATCTTTATTTCCCTTTAGCGCTGTAGTCAATAAAAGCGAAGTCTCAGAGTAAATCGTTTTTTTTTGAAAACGTTATATGTACAAGGGCTGTCTGGAGACTGAAAGCTCGTGAAAATGCACATTTTGCTACTTTTTTTGTTCTTTTCTGTCTTTGCTGAAAACAATATATTCACGTGACTGAAATAACATGCACAACTGATTTTGCTGATTATTTCTCGAAATTATGATCATTTCATTTCATATTTGTCGCATATATAGATCGAATGTGTTTGTAGGTATGCTGAAAGTTTCAGGCCAAAATCGTGAATATTTGTTGACAAAACTAGAAACATGTCCTATATACTCTTATGCAAGTGAAACGAAAATTTTCTGTGTTGTTGATTTCGATAGTATTTTGAATTTAATTTGTAATCTAGTATAATAGATAGTCGTCTACTGTGTGAGATTTCAAATAAAATTCAAAATACTATCGAAATGAACAGCACAAAATTTTCGTTTCACTTGCATAAGAGTATATAGGACATGTTTGTAGTTTTATCAACAAATATGAGATGAAATCATCATAACTTCGAGAAATAATCGAGACCCGAGATGTCGACGGTCACTATATTTTCAACCCTTGGGTAAATCAAATCCAGCTCATCGGTTCACATACGTTGACCTAATCTACTAGATCGTATACGTGTTTTCTTGATCGTTCGTATATCTCTGTCGCTTTGTTATTGCCCTTCTCCATTTCATTTAATAGAATAGTGCTGTTATTTTCTTGATAAAACAAGTGAACAAACCCGATCGTTCCAAACTTCTCAAGCAAATAACATGAGTCTCAGTCAAGTACAGTAAAGATGATCCATAGCTATACTGCAAGGGGGAAAGCAGCTGCTGACGACTTTACAGGATCTAACTGGGACCTAGTAGAATTCATCAGAATACGAGGCTCCAAAAGCAGTCTTTTCCCACTTGAAAAATATGTATTGCAAAAAGATTCAGTTTTTATGAACCAAAGCATGGTACGGTAGAGATTGTGGCGACTAGATGTTAATATAAGACTGACTGGGACTGCGTAGAAACATTCTTGGAATAGCATTATCTGATTTTCAAGTAGCTATTGTGTCCATGTCAACAGCAGAGCAAAAGTCGGCGAGGGACAATCGCGATGAGAAATTGTCAGGATCACGGAATTTTCAAGAATGTACCATAATGCCGTCCAGTAGGTGCTTACTGGGACTTACTATTGGTATATTACTTGGAGGAGTCGCTCTAGCGGCTATCATTACATTATGGATACAGAGTGAGTTAAAAATAGCATATGAAATTCTTTTGTGCGATATGCTGAAGTGTTTCTACTTAGATCGACAGAGCACAACGACTGCAACAGTGAGCACAAGTTCAACAGCTGCGACAATCCCGACGACTGTAGGAAGTAAGAAGTAACTCCTTTATGTCGTGCCGAGCATGACAAGATGGTTGGTGTAAAAAGATGTTCGGAAAAAATTGAACATATTTTTCTTTCTATAAGATCCAACGAATACATTTGTGATTCATTCGAGGTAGATCGATAGATTTGTTTAGTTTTTGTTCGAATACTTGTCGAGACATTTTGTCGCCCCTTTCACCAATGATAAATCTGCCCACCAATTGTTAAAATCGAAGTATGACCATCAAAAATCTGGGTACTCGGATTTTTGACTACGTTGCATGGATTGGTTGTATCTTGTGCTAGATTGATATCCCTTAAGCAGGGATATTGGCGCAAAAAACTTTCTACAATTATTCAAATAAAACCTAAAATATAGAAGTGATAGTCAAAATTCTATCCTACCGATACCCAGACCAACTAAAACTATGTACAATGGTTTGGTCAGTTTTTCTCACATTGCTTTTGACACAGCTGAGCCTACATCGATCGAGAGATATAGTGGGCGCACACACTAAATCTAGATCAAACAACCAAATGACCCGACCTGAAATATAAAATTCTAGAATTCCCTCATCAATTCTATATTTCAAGAAAAGTGTTATATCATATAGACAGCTTTATAGTTGCCGAAGTCGGACCTAGAACTGCGCCACATGCCATAAGAATAGGACAAATAGTTCAATAATATAAGTAAAGATAGCAAAAATCGGGCTCACGAATTAAAATAATCCTTGGAAAACCTAACGAAAATAGCTATTTATTAGACCCAATACATTCTTATCGGTAGCATCGTATCAAACCCTAATTAGGTTCCGGTATTCATACAAAAAATTCAAGATATTATACCAAAAATCGATACATTTTCATATCAGTGTTCGAGTTAGCACGCTGCTTAGTTTATTACGAGACACTAAGAGCAAATCCAGCAAGCGATTTCGAACTGCATGAAAAATTATACCTGCAACAGAATTTCAAACAAAATACTGAGATTGATTTTTCTCTAGCGATGTACACTAATTGGCTGACCGAGACAGAGAATTTACAAGGAACAGAAGTCGCTTGATTTGTTGTTCATATTGGTGTGCTTGTTAACCGAGACACAAACACGAAATCTCAAGTCAAATGCTTCAAACTATAGAGCAGGAGAGAATGAACAAAGTGGTCTCTACGGACTAAATTACTTCTCGACGTTTGTTGTAATGACAAAAAGATCGATCTTGAGTTTTGATTTTTATCAATGCGAAATAATTCTGCGTCGCACTGAAGATCGAGCAACAATTAATAATATTAGGCAAAATAGACTTTTCAGTCTAACAAAATATGGTTAAGCAGTTGATTGTAATTTCAAATGATAAATGGTTTGCATAAGCATGATCAATGTGAAATTCTGCATCGAATCATATGGTTTTAGATGGAACAGAAGCATACTTTTTAATTTTTCCGCTTTGAGAAAAAGCACACGTTTATTGAAGAAAATAAAAATCATGAAAAACTCGTAAAATGTACACTCAAAAAAGAATAATTACCATACTGAACTTTAAAAAATTGAGCCAATAGTACCAAACCTAACGAGTTTCTTCCTGTGTGCCCACGAGAAGAACCTCTGTTGTTAGAGTGTAGTAATTGAACCGTTTACAAAAGAGATTAAAAATATGATCATCTAAATAGTATCAGCTAATAGATGTTCGCACAAATAATTCTTCTGATACTACAAAGCCTATGCTAATAACTTTGAAATTTTAGCAACTACCACAGTTAACCTCCCTGCGCAATGTTCAACCTATGTATCAAATACAGACGCAACTCGAAGTGCCACCTATTCTGGAGTAGGCTCGTCGACCTGTGACAACCCAACCCCATTCGGCTCCAATCCTGCATGGGTTCGCTTTTCAGGTGCCGCTGGAACACAATTAGCCACTACCGTGGTAAATTCATCTCTCTGTAGCACAAGCGCTACTGGATGGTATTCTGGCGTGATGCCATCCTCGGCTGGAACCACAAACAATGGAACTGTTTGTTACAATTGGACAGGTTTGAGTTGTTGGCAATCGAATATAATTTCGGTGACAAACTGTAATGGCTACTATGTGTTCTTACTTCCCGCAACACCGAGTTGCTCTTATCGTTACTGCACTAGCTGAAGAAAAAACACAAGGGCCTTTTCAACCAGTTACATTTTTATCCTCCATTGCTTCTGAAAAAAAACTAAATTTCTCTATTCACCAGCAAATGTTTGTTGCTGATCACGAACAATGTTCGCTTCTTCGCTGTTTCTTCCTTTCTCCATGTGAATTAATATGCATAAATTACCAATAAAACTGAAATTCTTATTCTCATACACGCAGCACAAGAAGAACAACAAAATTCAAAACAACCCATAGAGCTGTTTTTTTTCTAGCATTAGTTACGATCGAATGGTGAGCAGGAGAAACGAAACAACTCTGAGTGGAGTATCTGTGAAATACGCGAACACGTACGAACAGCTCGAAAAGAATTTCAAGTGTTTCGTACTTCTATCTACCACACCTTGAAGGTTTCAGAGAATTGAAGCGAAATCGAAACCCTTTTAGCCTCCGTATTATGTACAACACCTTGTTTTTAGTCCAACAAACAGTTTTGGGCTCGGTGTGGTACCATTTGTTTTTCAGTGTACTATTATCAGCAAATATTTTTAAAAACAACTATCATGTTATTTTAGCTTCAAATGTTGACGTTCACTTGCTCATTTTGTTTTATTAACCATACATTAAATTATAGTATCGATGAAAATAAATTATATGGTGTAACATAATGAGTATTATGCTCCAATAGTTTGCTTTTTCGTTCTCCTAAATCTTAGTTTGGGCAGAATGAAAAACACTTGTTGTTGACATGTAATAAATGTACTTTTTAAGACAGAATATGTTGGCAGATGTTGAATAACTTCGGAACATAAACATGAAGTGATCTATGATTGTCACCACGTGAAATTGAACATTGTGCAACTCAAACCTATGCTATGATCCAAAAACTTGAGAGATAATGCTTATACATTTTCATTATAATCTTCAGAAATCCTCGTTTCGATTAGAGAAGCATTGTTGTATGAGTCAGTCCAAGCAAGCCACCACTGATCACCATAGAAGAGTACTCAATGAAGTTCCTAGATGTGCGCAAAATCTATCCCATCTTATAGAGTATGTTGTTTTAGGCCTCGAACCAAATTTTTAGCCTTATTGGAGAACTCCCTGTCGAGATATTAGGATCTTTCGAATGAATTTTTACCGTTTTTTAACCACTTTTATATGAAAACAATAGAAAAATCACCTTCCCAATTGGTTTTATCTCAAGATATGAGTGGAATGGTGCTCAAAATAACTTTTCAAGCACTACGAAGCTGAATTTCATCCAAGGGCGCAGTCAAAAGCTTGGGATCTACGATTGAGCAAAATCGGGTGTGGCTTACGCGGACTGGCTCATATATTATACTTTACCTCATCTGTCTTGTGGGCCAGTATCAACTCTAAAATGCACATCAGACGCCACACATTCTTTCATTCTTCAGCGAGATTGGTGGAACTAATGCGGCAGCGGAACCACTTAATAACACTATTTTTAGTCGGTTTAGATAAGGTTTCTGAAAAATCCGTCGATTTTCAAGAATCCAAAATCTTTTAATAGTGTTCATTTTCTTCTTCATATGGACCAATAATCAGCAGGCTAAAGATTAGTCTGTTAGGCTCTAATATGTATAGAACGAAAGAGACAAGCAGTGTCACTGATGTTATGTGACAGAACGACGAAAAAGATGACCTTCATGGGAATCGAACCCATATCTTCTGCTATCCGGGCAGATGTACTACCGTTATACTAGAAAGCGCATCTTAATCATCGTTTAGCGTCCAAGTGATTCATCATGGGCGCTAACATAGTCAAACAGCTGATCACCGGTTTCTTCTTTCTTCAAGAAAATGATCACTACTCATTGAGTTGCAAATTATTGAGTTAAAATTTTCAGCAACCTCAGATCAGACGACTCTATATACGAAGAAGATTTCCGAAACTTATAACCCTCTGGATGTGACAATTGTTTGTTTTCTAGAGAAAGTTTTAAACAGAACCGTCTTACAAACAGTTGCTGAAACATTGAATTCATTCATGTGCGCATTTGATGAATCACAATAATTTCATTCAAAAGCGGGAGCCAAAAATAATTCTCGGATTATATCAGAATCTAATCAAATCTATTAGAAACAATCGATGCAAACAAAAATATTTTCTTTCAAGCCAGTTTGTTTTCTGTCATACACCAGAAACTTGTTCGGGATCTTAATCTAAATAGTGCTTAATATTTTTCCTTCTGATGAGAAAGAACAAGAAAACTTCTAAAGTTAAGTGTAGCGTGATGTAGTAGTATGCGATGATGAAAAAAAAAGTAAATATCGAGCATCAACAGTAGGGAGATAGCTTGAATTCAAGAGACAATAATGAATAAAGAAAGATCCATTAGAGCTACTGATATTAATATGATTATTTTATTACAACTGTAGTCGATAATGCGGATATTGTTAACTTCAATGAAAATTAAAAATTTCAACTTTCCTTTCCTTTCTTTTTCAAAAGGAAAGTAGATAATGTCAAAAAGCTTTCCTTTCCTAAAAGAGAGAAAGTGAAAGTGCCAACCCTAGAGTGAACTCCAGGCATGAGAAAATGAGTTGTGATGAATTATAAAGTAAACTTGAGAAAAGCGTTGAGACGTGCAGGCTGATTCTCAGGGTATTAGAATAAAGTATTTCGTTAACACTTAATATTAAGCGTTAAGTAAAACCGCTTAATTAGGTTTTTTGATGAACTCAAATAAAAATCACCGGTCCAGTCTTATGCTGAAGTATATTTCTCCTGTCAAAATTCTAAACATCTAATTACAGTAGTACCATATCGACATTGAAGCAAAACACAATGTTCCAATTAATATTTATGTTTTATCATTGAAACGAAAAAATATCGCACAATATTTTCACTAACTTCATTTGAACGTATTTATCAAAAGATGCTGAACAATTATTTTACTCCGAATTCTTTTTATGCTTCAGAAAGATTGATGAATTATTCTCCGGGTTGATCGTTGATATTCACGTATTGAAATCATCACAGGATTACTACCCAAGCAGTCAAAAATGAGCTATTCACACGTTTAAATGACCCTAATGTTTGTTTCAATCGACACATTAAAACTTTGGAGAAATGTCCGATTTTTCCGTTTTAACAGTGAAAACGAGCAAAATAGTAATGCTATAACGCGTTAATCAATTAAATGCGTTAAAACCTAACAAATTGGACATATCTTGCTACTAGAAGTGTCTCAGTTATAAAAGAAAAGTTCAAGCTGGAAACGTTTGTATTGGTTTGTATACATTTATATAAGAAAATATATCATTAAAGGGTTCATCTTAGATTTATGCAGAAGATTATGTTAGTCACATAAAATACAATGCAGTCGTTTCAGCATTAACAACTTCTACATATTTGAACTTTTATGTAATAGGTACAAATTCTAGCACGATTATATTACATTCGATGAAACGTGGACAGTTTGGCATATATATTTGATTTAANACTCTACAACTTATGTTAACCAAAAAGGATATAGGAGTATTTTACAAAACTTTGTTGAATTCCAAACCTTAAAAAGGTTTATTACGACACCTTGTTGAATCCGAAACCTTGAAAAGGTTTTTTTGCGAAACCTCTGATGAAACTGAACTACTACAAGGTTTCGTGTTTCCGATCGAAACCTTTTGAAGTATAGTAAAGCACCACGAAACCTTTCAAGTTCCGCATGGAACCTTTTTTTTTTCAGTGTGTGGGTGTAGGCGTGGATTTGCATGCATAGTGTGCACGTGGATGAGCGTTTGGACAGAATAACACCCACACCCGCATCCATCTTATCTAGCATCTCAGAGTAGCTATGAAGTTTTTGTAACAAGTGTAAACAAATAAGACAAATAATCAACTGAAATCAAAATGTTGTTTTCTGGTTTCGTTTAGTACTAGACGTTATTTATTTATCTTTTGAAACTCGACTAATCACTGTCTACATTTGTAATTAAACTTAGTATTATCATTATGATCATGTGGATTCTGCCATCCTTTGATCGTGTTATGTTGCTTATGCATTAGATATTTCCACAAACACTTCTTCGATATTTCCTTTCTAGGCTTCCAATGTTCGCTGATAGACTCGATGGTACTTTTTATATGGTTGTGTTGATGTGTATTTTAAGGATAAGTAAAACAGTGAAGATTGAAGCATTCGTAACTAAATGAATAATCAAGAAGTTTTCGATATTCTACATGACTGCATATGCTTTCAAAGGAAACGTAGCGATCGTATGAAAGCTTGATCAAATTGCAACAGTATGTATTCGAGAATGTTAAAATTCAACCTGTTTTTGTGAAATTATCACAAACATCGTGAAATAAAAGTGTTGTTAGCTGAATAACCGAACTATGAGTAGCTTCGAAAGCATGAAAGATTTGGTACTTTTTATACGAAGCTTTCTATAATTTCATAGGTTCGTTAATGGTTTTGTATATGTACATTGTAAGAAACCATTTTTGGTCCCGTAGAACATCTAAAGGTTCAGTAGATATAATATGACGTCAGCATTAGTTCCGTAACTCGTATAAAGGTTCTGTATACATTATACGAAACTTTTCAAAGTTTCGTAGAACATACGAAAGCTCCGTGTATATGATACTCATCCGTCGACAGTTTCGTAGTTCGTATAATGGTTTTACATACTTTATACGAATCCGCAAAGAGTTTGGTAAATCAACTAATGCTCAGTGCATCGATTGCCAAACCATTAACAGTTCTGCAACTGATCTGGAGGTTTAGTATACATAATATCTAACCGTCGATAGTTTCGAAGAACACTAAAAGGTCCCGTAGACTTGCTACGAAGCCATGGAGAGTTTCGTAGATCCTTTACGAAACTATGAATAGTTCTGTAAGTGCCGTAAAAGTTTTGTACACAGTTTATGAAACTATCGGTGGTTTCGCAGATCATCTAAAGGTTTGATCTATCTGATACGGAACCGTTCAAAGTTTAGTAAGATATATAATGGCTCAGTATATCCCACACGAAACCATTAACAC